ATGTGTATATATATAAGTATGTATATATGTGTGTATATATATGTATATATTTAGATATATAAGTATGTATATATGTATGTATATATATATGTATGTATATATGTATATATATATAAGTATGTATATACGTATATAAATACGTATATATGTATATATATGTATGTATATATGTGTGTGTATATATATATAAGTATGTATATATATATATATAAGTATGTATATATAATGCATATATGTAATTTTTCAGTACTGATTACTTGTTTTATCCAATCATATATGCTATGTTTTAATTGATTGTACTAAAGATGAATTTGAATTTTGGCTCCTTGATAACAATTGAGGTATGAACTTTACATGTGGAATGTTTCGCTATCCACAAGGTACAATAGACACACCAGCTTATCCAGGTATATTTAATTTATCAGACACCTGGTACTACTTACCAGCTTTAAAAATAGGAATGATTTGCTATAGGCTTACCTGAGTTGGCGGGTATGGGTATGGTTGTGGAGGCATAGGCTGGGCCAATCCACCGCCGCCACCACCACCTCCACTTCCTGAGCTACTGTTTCCAGGGGGCCCACCCATTTCATCTGTGTCGATCAACAAAGATTCTACATCTGCAGGCTAAAAATATGAATTCATGGGTTTAAAAAACTAATTTAACATTAAATTCAAGATATATTACTATTGTTTTTTTTAAATACTGGTGCATCACAAGGAACCATATTAGCCGCATTTTGCTTTACCTTATAAGATATATTTTAGTCTATCCAAGTCTAAAATGTCCTGTCATAAAATTTGTAAACCATGCACTTTAGTTGATTAATGTAACCAAAGGTAGCATATGTATTGTTTAAAACTTGAACAGTGGCCATTTGAAACATAATAATAATAATTATAAAAATTCCATAATTTTGCAGCAGTAATCAGCACCATTTTTGTGTTTGAACCTAAAAGGCGCCAAACCGTTCCTACTACTACTAGTATTTTGAGCTCTCTCTAGGCTGGGGAAAATGTATTTTTGCATTAAAAAAAAAGAGCTGATCCTAGATCTTGAAGTATCTGCATAGGTCTTATTTAGGCAAAGTTGTTTTTCTTGGCATTAGAAATGAACTGGAAGGATAAGCATCAACATACTTACATTTAATAGTACTGTTGGATCTGGTTCAAAGGGAACATTGTGGCTTTTAGCAATTTCTACCAAATAATTTTCTACCAGCAACTGTGGCGGTGCTTGGTAACTCATCTTCAACTTTAGCTGTGAGCAAACAAGAACGAAAAGTTATTAATTATGCCAATCATATTCATATTGATAATAATATAATCATTACTGGACCTCAATCTTAAGTACTTATCCAAGAAGACTCGGTTCTGCCAACCGAACACTGGGAGAGGAGCAGCTCGAATAAGCGCTGATGTTAATAATATTAACAATGATGATTACTACCACAAACTTTTATAGTTGATTTGCTGAAATATTGATCACTAACTATTCCCAAATTACATTATTTTACTCACCCTTTGGTTAACTTTATCATGTTCATCAGCTCTGGCTGCAGCACAGTAGGGTTTCCCATACTTCATGAACAGTTGATCTGATATCTAAGTGTATAGTAAGTTATGAAAAGTTCACATTTCAGTATACTACTAAATCATGTCATAATGTGTAACTAATAAAATATATACAGATTTTATTGTTTAAAGACGGTGGCGGTGCTTGGTAACTCATCTTCAACTTTAGCTGTGAGCAAACAAGAACGAAAAGTTATTAATTATGCCAATCATATTCATATTGATAATAATATAATCATCACTGGATCTCAATCTTAAGTACTTATACAAGAAGACTCGGTTTTTTTTTTCTTTTCACCTGCAAGTCTAATAAAATCAAATTTTGTTATTTTAAGAATATAATAATTTTTCATATGTATGTTTTCTTATGACCATTACGAAATAAATGTTACTGAGAGAGAATTAGAAAAAAAAAAGAAAAAAGAAAAAAAAAAAGTAAACCATTTGTTTTTAATTGTTTATTTGTAATTTGTTTTCAGTTATTTGTTTTTATTTATTAAAAATGTTTTCCATTATGTAATGATGATTTCTATGAATTTTTGATATATAATATATATAGAGATTTTTTATTGAAAGTTAACCATTTGTTTTTACTTATTTACATTTTTTCCATCACGAAATGTTGAATACTATTAATTTTTTATTCAATTTTAAAAATGTAAAATTATAATTTAGGTGTTGTTTTAATTATTTGAAAATAAAATAGAGCACTGGGTCTAAAATATGACAAAAAAACTGCCACAAACGCCTGTGATTCAAAATCATTCTATTAGCAGAGTAACTGAGAAGAATGCTAAATAACCCCTGCATATGCCAATGATATTAACAAACTATAATAAAAATCCAATAAAAAAAATTGAAATTGAAGTAGAACCTGAACTTGACATTAGTTTAAGGGGTCATCCATAATTTTAATCGTTTTCAAAAGAGTACAAAAATATTCTTTCCTGTGACCCTGCCCTCCCCCATGAGAGAGTACACAATAAAATGTTAACTTGCATCAATTTTGAAATCATCACTTTTTTTTTTTATAAAAGAGTACTTTTATACCTACACTTTCAACACCCCCCCCCCCTCTCCCCCCCCCCACCAAAGCATATGTTTTTTAATCTTTTGAAAATGTTGAACATTTAAAAAAATTATGGATGGCCCCTCATGGCTATGCAATATATGCCATATAAAGTACCACTTTAAGTTCTTGGATATCTGAGCTTAGCCTTGGTGCAACCCATAAGATTGAGCAAATAGCTTCTTCCAGTCCCGGTTCAACATTCTTGGTAGTTTCGATGAGACCAAACCGGGCTAGTAATAGGTCACAGTACAACTCAATTATCTCCATCGCCTCAACCAAATAATCCTCACGAATAATATGCTCGACCTAAAAAAAAATATAATGTATATAAGGTTTGCCATTCCAAAATTTTAATTTTTTGGTCACTGACAATGCCGTAGCCAGCTATTGGGAGAGTCCCACACAATTTTTCTAAACTTTTAATAAAATGGGTCCAGATTTTTCATATTTTTGCGTAAAATGGGTCGACATTATTTGAATTTACGCGTAAAGTGGGTCCACCCTGATATTGTCCTACACTGTTTGAAAATCCCAGCTACGGCATTGGTCACTGATGCTGGCCTTGGGATGGCAAGCCTCATATTTGAGCAAACATGAAATATTTTAGTAAAGTGGAGGAAAAAGTTATGAAGAATACTGTACTATGTAGTACTGTTCCCGACACTGTCAACTCAGACAAGCGCTGCTGCCTAGTTGCAAAATGTTGATCCCAGCAACAGTACTGGTAATTGGCAATTTTTTTGGAGCCAACACTGCAGTGTGCTAAGTGCTAAATATTATTATCATTAACAAACTTACTCTAATTCTTGCTCTGTCGTCTTTGCCATTTGATATGTAATCAGCAATTTCCTTCCTTGCTTTCAGAGCTAATTCAGCTGAAAAAATAAATTTGTAATGAATATTTTAATAAATAAATGGGAATGGCACTGATTATTTTTCTAAACATTTCTATAAAGTTATTACATCTCAACATATCCAGTCTAAAGATATAGATAAGAGCTTCGAGTAATTTACTTTTCAAATATCAAAATTGACGAAGTTATATAGCATGTGATGCATCAATGCACTTCAGTTTTCTAGCGGAGTATTCCATAATTTTGTGGCTAGATATTAGTGCATTGCGGTGGCAATACAGATAAAATATGGTCAGCTGCAGATTCATATGCTGATCTTAATCAAATTATATTTGACAAAAACATGTGACATGCCTAAATATGGTCATGATGACATCACATCATGACAATATATAGGCACATCATGACTATATATGGGCATAAAACAGTTTTTTGTACAAGAAACTTTGATAGTGTGGAGAATTAAGCACTACTATCAATTTTTATATGACAAATAAATGTTATTACCTGTCATGTAAAATATTTATGAACCCTGTTAATATTCCTGTATTGAGACTATGAGAGTAAGTTATATCATAATATGAACTTAGAAAAGGGTCTTTGCACAATGCACTTACTTTTCTTTTTTTCCAACAACTTCAGTCTGTTGATGGTTAGTTTTAAATTCACCTTCAGTTTGTTCTTGTTGAAACCCATTTCAATCACAAAATCTATGGCATAGTAACAAAAATAAGCAAAGGTTTTAAATGTTAAACAACCACCTGTAAAATATCAGGAAAACTTCAACACAAATTCGAAAAAAATATATTTTAGTACTCATCAACAATTTATAAACTTTTAATGAAACATTATAGACTTTATATTCAGATGATTTACTACATAAATCCTTATACTCGAACAACGAATGACTTCTAATCAATCTGGTGGAGCGTTGTTGGACCTTCTCTAATAAATCAGAATCTTTTTTATATTTAGAACCAGGGGTGGATCCAGAGATGCCCAAAAGTGGGGGGGGCCGCCCCCACCCCTAAATCCACCTCTGAAAACTGAGAAAATTAAATTAAGTGGCCATTGATATTTTTCCAACGATTTTACATCCGGTAAATCCGAGGTGTGTTGATTGGTGGAGGCTGGAGCTGTCCTTTTGCTATCTAATTATGCACATGGCATGTCAGAACTAAAATACTGTACTTGCACTATTATTCATAGTAGACCTAGGCCCTTGTGTCATCTAGGATAGCACAATTTTTCCGATTTTAGGAAATTAAATTTCAATTTTCACTTTCTTTTTTTGATGAAGATACAAAAATGTCAAATTACAAGAAGATAAAGCTAAATCCAGTTTATTGGGCCAGGTTACCCAAGGCCGCACGACTGACTCTTAGGAAGAACAATAAATAACTAGGCCTATGATGATCAACCTAAAACTGTACAGGGCCCGCGTTGACTTTAGTTTAGGGCCGGGCCCAGCTGCGCTGCTTCTCAGAATTTTTTCGACGAAACCTGGCTATCTCCGGCAGCCTAGCCTAAAATTGAGTTCGTCAAATTGCCTATCAGACTTTGAAATGAAATATATGAAACTTTTCAAACCTGTGAATTGTATTAACCAACGTCTTCGATTACGAGAATGTAGATATTGTAACCAATAAGAGTAAAATAAATCAACCTCAGGTGAGAGCATCAACTGAGTCTGAATCACTTCACCAAAACAAATACAGTTGTAGTGCGCATGCCCGAAGAATTACGTAAATATCTATATCTGTAC